ATATATTAATAAAGATTAAATCTAATATAGTATTCTTAAAGTTTATTAAATTAAATAAATTAAAGATTAGAATATAAAAAAATATAAGAAAACTATTTAAAATAGATATAGTTTAATAGATTAAATTAATATATTAAACTTATATAATAACTACTTAAAAATATAAATTTAAATATATTATATATAAGTAAAATATATAAAAAGAGAATTTCTAACTAGAGTAATTTTATTCTCTATCTATTTATCTATCTAAACTATCTATTTCTTTTTTTTAGATTTTATAATTTTATATATTTTTTTTAGTATTTTCTAATTTTCTAATATATATAGTTTAGAGTATATAGAAAGATAATATTATACTAGATATTAAAGTTAATAAAATTAGAAAATTAAAAAATTACTTTTATTTTTATTCTTATTTTTAAACTTATTAATTTTCTTATAAACTATATAATACTTAAGAGTTAGCTTAATAGTTTTAAGAATAATAATATTATCTATAGTATTCTAAATAATAATTAAACTATTAAAAGTATTATTAATAATAAGATTATAAATCTTTTTCTAAATAGTAATAATATATCTAATTATAATATATACTTTAGTTTATATATAAATAAGCTTTCTAATAATCTTATCTAGTTTAATAAGAGCTATATATATAGAAACTAAATTATATAAAAATAGTAGAAGAATAAAAAAAATAATAATATAAGTATTATTATTCTTATTATAATATATATATTATATTCTATTACTATTATAATTAAAATAATAATTATTACTTTTTCTAGAGATAAGTAATTTATTATATACTATATATATATTAAAATACTTATTAAAACTAAGTATTAATTATAAAAATAGAAAATAAAATAATAGATAATATTTATATCTAATTAGAATAAGTTTTCTTAGTTTAATTCTTTTTTCTTTTAATTTTTATTAATTTCTTCTAAATACTTAAAAGTATTTTTTAATACTATTTAGTAGAGATAGATAGATAAATAATTATTTTAAAATCTATTAAATAAATATATCTAATTAAAATATAGAGTTAAATTTACTTTTTTTAATAGTTTTATTTACTAGTAGAGATAAAAGAGTATAAATAGAAGAGATAGATATAACTAATTATTTTTCTCTAGAATAAAATTAATTATAAAACTCTATTTTAAGATATATAGATCTCTATATATAATATAGTTAGAAAAGAAATAATAACTATTCTATATATAATTAGCTTTAGAATAATATTTTAAAATAATAAGAATTATTATAGGAATATATATATAATAGAAAGTAATTATATAGAAAAAGAAAAAGAAAATATTTAATATTTTAAAATAGAAATTATTATAAATAGAATATATATCTATAATTACTTATTATTAAAATAACTAATTAAACTATAGTAATAGAATAATCTAATAATAAAATATATATATTAGTATAATAAGCTTATTACTATAGTATATATATATATAATTAAATAGTATAATACTTAAAGAGTATCTTTTTAATAAAGATATAAGAAATTAGAATTATATATATATATATTTCTTATATTTATAGAGATTATAAAAGGATTTATAATAGAAAGAGCTATTTATATAGAATATAAAAATAAAAGACTATCTATATTAGTATATTAAATATCTATAATAAATAGTTATTAGTTATAGACTAGTTATAGAGTAATCTATTTAGTTATAACTACTCTAGAACTAGCTTTATAACTAGCCTAGTTCTATAGCTAGAATAATAACCTAATTAATTATCTTTATAATCTATCTTATCTATAAATATATACTTTAGAAAAGCTTTCTAATACTATTACTATTACTATTATTCTTATCTATAGTATTAGTAATAATAGCTTAATAAGTAGAGTTAGTAATAGGAGTATTATTTTACTAAGTAGAATTAATTATAGTAACTATAATATCTTTTTATTATTATATAGTAATTAAAATAAGGTTATTAGCTAAATATAAGTTATTAATATATAATAATTAGATAACTTATACTAGATAAAGATCTAGAGTAAGTTTTATTCTTAGATTATAAAGGCTTATTAGTAATTTAAAGTAATCTAATTATTATTAGTAAAAAGAATAGAGTATACTATATAATACTAGATAGTATATACTCTATTTATAATACTAATAAACTTCTTAATATATTTATTAAATTTTATAATAATAATAGAATTATCTCTTTTAGTATATCTTCTAATCTTATATATTTTCTATAGCTACTTAATATATATATATTTTAGCTATATAAGTACTATTATAGCTTAACTCTTAACTAGCTAGTTTATAATAATACTATTAAGATTATTAAGCTTAACTTTCTTTTAATTATTAACGAGATATAAAGAAAGACTTTTAAAGAATTAATTATTAAAGTAGCTTTTAAAAAGTTAGGAATTTATCTTTTTAATTACTCTATTATTATAAAAAATATTCTTAATTATTAACCTCTTAATATATTATTACTAGCTTATAAACCCTTCTCTTCTAAGATAGTTATATCTATAACTTATTACTAACTTAATAAATTAGCTAATAAGATTAAAAAGATTATCTTTTCTAACCTTATCTTTACTCCTTTAAAGATATAGCTACTAGACTACTTTATTAAAAATACTTTATTTAATACTATAATAGATATTTAAATATAGTAAGATCTTAGCTATATAAAATATACTATAGTAGTAAGATTATAAAAGAGAAATATAAAGAACTATAAGCTATAGTTAGAAGAAGTTCTAAAGGTTTTAAAAGTTTATAATATAATTATTAAGAGAAAGAGTAATAATATTATAAAGGCTTAAGTTATATTAAATAGATATATAAAAAAGCTATATAATATAGTAAAAAAGAGATATTTTAAAATAGTAAAAAAAGTATAAGAATAATAATATATTAGAATACTAGATTCTCTAGAAATTCTTAAAACTAGATATATAAAGTACTTCTTAATTAAGGGTTAATTAAAGCTATTTAACCTATAGAT